TGGGCTATATCCACCATTGATCGTATAAATATATACCTACTTGTGAGAGTATGCTTTCCGATTCACATTTATCAATGGATAGGTACATCAAAAAGCGCACGCAACGTTGTTTTCCGCGTTCCCAAAGCATGTAAATTATTTGCACTTACGGCTGTTCCTCGATAATATGCGAGTTGTCGATGTCGAGGAATCGGAAAACTGCGGGTACTGTTTTTTTCCCACTACTTTTACCGTTGAAAAACAACCCGTGGGCAATTAATCATACAATGATTTGTCTAGCGTTAAACAGATTTTTTTTCATCAACTTTTGGGTTGCAACAATAGCCGTGTAAATTTTCTCAGATGAAAATTTTCTTAGCTTGGTTTGGACTTGCGCGTTTTTTCCCTACAAAAGATTGCATAAATTAGACGTGTAAGCACGCAATATAATATATTACATTTTTTCAACCCGCATATTTGCAAATAAATTTAACGACATTTAAAGACAGCAAGATAACATATAAATTGCGCAGGTTGAATACAAAAGCATGGAAAAAAAAAAAAAAAAAAAAAAATTAAAGAAGTCAAAATTTTAAATGTTGTCCTGTTGTTTCGGAGTTTGATTACTTTAAAGCTCAGGAAAGAGAGTGGCTCGTGGGAGCTATGTTATTTCTGTCTGTTAGCTGTCCGATAAACTCGGTGCATTAAGCTCGAGTAGAGTTTTTGTTTTTGCACAAATTTTGAGTAATGGCATCTCTGCTGTAGCATCTGCCTTGTGACATAAATTTTCTAACCATTAGGTATAAAAATGTAGTCCCTAGTGATAAATTTTTTTTTTTTTTTTTTCATACCTCTCAACTATAAGACAGCTGGTTTTTCGTAATATAAAACAGGCCTTGTAATCCAACTCTACGCGAATGAAGCTAATTTATAATTAGTAATGCAAAATTACCCAACGTCAGCTACAAATTACCAACAAAATGAACCACGCGCTCGTTCATCGCAAACTCGATTTCGTCAAAAGGTAACGTCATTTGATATCGTATCGACACGATGTTTCTTCACCCCATGCGTATAACCCAATACCCTGTACCCGTACATGCAAAATTATTACCGACGCATAAATTTAATTAGCCCAGAAAACCAACACCCGCCGAAGCAAATTTCCATGCGCTAATTAATTTATTAGGTATACCGCATATATACATCTATTTTTAAAACATACGCTTCACAAAAGTGCTTAATCATCCGTTTCGCTTAACACTCGTCCTTCACACATAAATCACGCCTCGCTCGCGATAAATTGTCGTAAAAGTGAAATTTTACTATTTCCGCGTTAAAGGGGGATATTAACATGTTGAGCTTCGCACAACAGCTTAAACCCAAGTTTGGGGGATCGATAATTGCCCCGGCAAGTTTCGTAATTATTTCCAAGCGCCCAATCCCCCCGCGCTCGTTAAACCCGTGTAGTACAGCTCTTTTGGATTATACATACCGCGCGTGTGTGTCGCGGGGGTGGGGGAAATAAAATCAAACGTTTGATAAACAAACAACGAGGCAATGGAGGCCGTAGTATCGTGGGCGCGTATTTTAAACATCCGACAGCAGCAACAACAACAACAACAACAACAACAACAACAACAACAACAACAACAACAACAACAACAACAACAACAACAACAACAAGTGGCGGGGAGAAGGAAATCCTGTGTATAAATTCGCCCTCTCGAGTAATTGAAATCTCTCCAAAGGTTTTGCATGCTAATTCGCAATTGAATCTGCCGCGGTGCACGCGATAGAAAACCTTGAGGCTGCAACTTGTATCGCAAATCATATTTTGCACGTTTTTTTTATAATATTAAGTATACGTGTATCCGAGGGGCTGCGCACTCTGAAGTCTTTTGGTGACTTACGCGATCTTTGAAAGACTTAGAATGACTTCCGAAGTTTTTTTTAATGACTACAAAAGTGCGCAGCCCCTCGCGTGTATCACTATGTCGAAACAATAATTCTGCAGTGGCTGATACCAGTATATAAATATGATCGGATCATTTAACGCGAATATTACATAGATTTATTTATTTATTTATCGGATCATTTACTGTCAATATTATATACATTTTCGTGCAGCTGGTGTTTGCAGTACTTTAACTAATGACCGTATGGCTTTGGCTTCTCGAGTGTATGATTTAGTTGATACGTTTTAAAATACTTTTGAATAAACTCCACTTCTTCAAACGTGATAAAAATTTTTTTTTATTGTTACTAGGTGAAAGGGAGCATTTGACAAAATTTCGTGTTGTCCAGAAAAAATGTTGTGCAATGCTTTTGGTGAAAACAATATTTGTCGAGTATATTTCATGTTGTTAGTAGTTTTTTAGCACCAAACTCCTGACTTGTATTTAACATGTGAATTCGTCCGTGAGAAAAATGAAAATACATACATACATTTTTTGCATGACAATCCATTTTTACAATAAATGTTTATTCCAATACAAACGAAAAATTTATTCATTCGAATCAAATAATATTAAATTTAATCATATAAATGATTTCTTTACAACGTAACATTTGATAGATGTTCAACTAGATACTTATAGTATTCGAATTAATATTTTTTTTTTGTTAATATTCAAGTAAACGTTTATTCGAATACGAACAAAAAATGTATTTATTCAGATCGAATCATATTGATTTGTATCAAAAAATCAATTCTTTATTTCGCAATATTTAATATGTATTGAATTTTTTTTTTTTTTTTTCAAGTATTTATTTTTGTGTTTGTATCCAAATAAACGTTTAAATTAACATGAGGTTTTATGCACAGAAATGAGCCTGTTGGAAAAAGTAAAAAAGACTACAATATAAATTAAAATACGTTTATTTGAAATTATTAAATACATTAACACATTTTAGCAGATATACAATAACTTTGCCATTATTTTTAAAATGAAAGAACATAAGAATTAATTTGATATAAAAAAAATATTTCAATATTTTATGATTGTATTAAACTCTGTATTGCTGCTGCGACTAAGGATCATCACTGACTTGGCTTTACGTGACTAAAGATCGTGACAATCGTATTTGTGACACAAGAGGTCCGATAACATGTTGAAATAACGTTTGCACATATCACAACTAAACGGGTGCCAATTAGCTACGTGTTTGTTGTAGTCACTGATGCGATGAAAAGATCGCGTACATGCCATGCAACGGTGGAAATGATTATCACGTTCGTGACTCACGAGACTGTTTGAATCAGTGAATATTTTCTGACACTCGCCACATGGAAACAAATGCCAATTGCGCACATGATTCTCAAGACAACTGCTTCGGACAAAAGTTTGTGGGCATTGAATGCAGCGATGGTTGTGCTCAGACCCAATGTGTTTTATGAGGCTGCTTTTGCGGGTAAATGATTGCGAACACTCGTCGCAGCGAAATATGTTATGCTGGACATTTATGTGCTGCATAAGAACTTCGTTTTGGTTGGTATTATATGGTGAGAAATCGGTGCTCGGTTTTGTATGTATTTTCATATGATTTTTAAGTTGGTGTCTCAGTCGAAAAGATTCATGACAAACTGCACACCCAAAGGACTTAGTTTTCGTGTGAATCAATTGACACGTAGTGCCATTGAAGAGCCTTTCGTCCCTGTGAGTTTGCTTGTGCCTCGTGAGATCACTATTTTGATAAAAAGCTTGTGAACACAAATCGCACTGGTATGGTTTCTCACCAGAATGGATCCGCATGTGTTTTTTAAGGCTGCAGTTGTGACTGAATTTTCGTGAACACAAATCACACTGGAATGGTTTCTCACCAGAATGGATCCGCATGTGAATTTTAAGATGGCCTTTTTGGCTGAACTTTTGGGGACACAAATCGCACTGATATGGTTTTTCACCAGAATGGATTCGCATATGCCTTGAGAGATCACCATTTGTAGTAAAAGCTCGTGAACAAATCGAGCACTGATATGGTTTCTCACCAGAATGGATCCGCATGTGTTTTTGAAGGCTGCAGTTCTGACTGAACTTTTTGGAACACAAATGGCACTGATATGGTTTCTCACCCGAATGGATTCGCATGTGCCTTGTGATATCATCATTTGTAGTGAAAGCTCGTGAACAAACCGAGCACTGGTATGGTTTCTCACCAGAATGGATTCGCATGTGTTTTTGAAGGCTGCAGTTCTGACTGAACTTTTGGGGACACAAATCACACTGATATGGTTTCTCACCAAAATGGATCCGCATGTGTTTTTTAAGGCTGCAGTTCTGACTGAACTTTTTGGAACACAAATCGCACTGATATGGTTTCTCACCCGAATGGAT